CATCGAGCATAATCATTTACTGTGGTAAAAAAGTACCGAATTTCGCTATAGAGTGTAAAATACTGTCACACTATAACCAAGAAAATGCAGTATACCATCAAGAAACATACTATCTGGCCTGGAAATATTCAGGCCAAGAGCACAACACAACAATGCAAAAATTTGCAGATACGTTACGACTATATTTAAAAAATAATTATAGCAATCTTGTCCTGAATTTATCCAAGCCAAAACATGGCAACAATACTCAACAAAACGAGCCAAGACGATAAAAGCTGCTTACAATGTCAATGTGAAATATATTTGGCTAGCAAATATCCAGGCCGAAACTTTCCATTACAATGCGATAATTTGCAAATACAGGTAAAAAAGTTATAGGAATCTCGTCTTCAATTTATCCAACCCAAAACATGGTAACAAAACTGTACAATTTCGCACGAAATATCCTAAAAAATCACCCGCTTGGCTTAAGCCAAAACGCGATAAAAGCTGCTTACAATGTCAATGACAATTTGAAGAATACTTGGCTTGAAAATATCCAGGCCAAAAATTTCAATTACAATGCGATAATTTCCAATTACAGGCAAAAAAGCTATTGGAGTCTTGCCCTGAATTTATCCAAGCCAAAACACGGCAACAAAATTCTACAATTTCGCATGAAATATCTTAAAAATTCACCCGCTTGGTTTGAATAAATTCAAGCCAAAATGCAAAGCGGCAAAAGCTGCTTACAATTTTAAATATTTGGCTCGAAAATATCCAGGCCAAAACTTCCATTACAATGCGATAATTCGCAAATACAGGTAAAAATGTTATGGGAATTTTGTCCTGAATTTATCCAAGCCAAAACATGGCAACAATACTCTACAATTTCGCACGAAATATCCTAAAAAATCACCCGTTTGGTTTGAATAAATTCAAGCCAAAATGCAAAACGGCAAAAGCTGCTTACAATTTTAAATATCTGGCTCGAAAATATCCAGGCCAAAACTTTCCATGACAATGCGATAATTCGCAAATACAGGTAAAAATGTTATGGGAATTTTGTCTTGAATTTATCCAAGCCAAAGCATGGCAACAATACTCTACAATTTCGCACGAAACATCCTAAAAAATCACCCGCTTGGTTTTACGTATTTGGCTTGAAAATATCCAGGCCAAAACTTTCCATGACAATGCGATAATTCGCAAATACATGTAAAAATGTTATGGGAATTTTGTCCTGAATTTATCCAAGCCAAAACATGGCAACAATACGCTACAATTTCGCACGAAACATCCTAAAAAATCACCCGCTTGGTTTTACGTATTTGGCTTGAAAATATCCAGGGCAAAACTTTCCATGACAATGCGATAATTCGCAAATACATGTAAAAATGTTATGGGAATTTTGTCCTGAATTTATCCAAGCCAAAACATGGCAACAATACGCTACAATTTCGCACGAAACATCCTAAAAAATCACCCGCTTTGTTTTACGTATTTGGCTTGAAAATATCCAGGCCAAAACTTTCCATGACAATGCGATAATTCGCAAATACATGTAAACATGTTATGGGAATTTTGTCCTGAATTTATCCAAGCCAAAACATGGCAACAATACTCTACAATTTCGCACGAAATATCCTAAAAAATCACTTGCTTGGTTTTACGCATTTGGCTTGAAAATATCCAGGCCAAAACTTTCCATGA